TCTTTCGTTGAATATTCTCATCGAATTGAGCAATCTGAAGTGGTGAAGCTGTATCCATAACAATGTCACGATTCAATGATGAACTGGGTTGATTGCCGCGGTGATGTGTTTGTTTCCTGAGAATTCTTACTTCCCAGCCACTCCCTGACGAACCGCCAAAACTTCCTTTCGGAGAACTGCTCCATCCAGCTGCAGATGACCCTTCCCAACCACCAGCCCATGGGGCTGACTCAATGTCTGAAAAAACTCACAGTATCGATCAGTTAATGGGGATGCACGCCCTCACTGTATTTTTTGTCCGTTACTGTCTAATCTATCCGACTTTCATGATCATTTTACCTTGATAACTTAGTCTATCCAATAACCTTATTATTTGGGAGTTTATGCGATGGAATTCACCGTTTTAGATGCCTCGAGCGGAAATACATCATGATAGCCAATTTTTGACAAGATTTCTACCACCTTATATCATAGAGTTATAGTTCGCCTCATATCTGGCTTAATGCCCTAAAGACAAAGGACAAGCAGGGAGTTCAATTCTGCACAGTGTAACGGCGAAATGAAGCAAAACTCATGAGCTATATGACAGAGAATGAGAAGTACGACAGCAGCTGATGAGCTGTTCTGAGACGCCATACTGATGCAAGTGAACGGTTTGATGAGGAAGGGTCCTCCACAACTTAATTTATATATGCGGTGTAAGAACTTGAAGTCCTTTCAGCCTGTCAACAATTCTTCGATACAGAGAGAAAATTGATAATTCCGCATTAACTACCAAGTTCCATTGTCACAACGTACGCTAAAAAACTGCTGGTTTCAACAGTTATAATCACATTAATTTTTTTCATCAATGATCGACGCAGCGCATAGCACATTATTCCTCGTTCTCATTCATTAAATCAGCTTGCACCATACAATATAACTCATAAATTTTTTCCTTCAAGGCAATAACTGACCACATACAACAGTGGATTAGACATTTGGAATCAATAAGGTTTTTGAAAAACCTGCAGGAAACTCAAATTCTTACAGCGCATATATAAATTAGTTCATGGGGAGCATTCCCTCATCAAACCGTTCACTTGGATCAGTATGGCGTCTCAGATCAGCTCATCAGCTGCTGTCGTTCTTCTCATTCTCTGCCATATAGCTTGTGAGTTTTACTTCATTTCGCCGTTACACTGTGCAGAATTGAACTCCCTGCTTGTCCTTCGTCTTTAGGACATTAAGCCAGATATGAGGCGAATTATTAGTTTATGATATAAGGTGGTAGAACCCTTGCCAAAAATTGGCTATCATTATGTATTTCCGCTCGAGGCATCTGAGAGGGTGAATTCCATCGCATAAACTCCCAAATTATCAGGTTATTGGATAGACTGAGTAATCAAGGTTAAATAATCATGAAAATCGGATAGATTAGACAGTAAGGGACAAAAAATACGGTGAGGGCGTGCATCCCCATTACTGATCGATACTGTGATTTTTTTCAGGCATCGGGTCAGCCCCATGGGCTGGTGGTTGGGAAGAGTCATCTGCAGCTGGATGGAGCAGTTCTCCGAAAGGAAGTTTTGGCGGTTCGTCAGCAAGTGGCTGGGGAGTAAGAATTCTCGGGAAAGAAAGCCATCACCGCGGCAATNTTCTCAGGAAACAAAGCCATCACCGCGGTAATCAACCCGGTTCATCGTTGAATCGTGACACCGTTATGGATACAACTTCACCAGTTCAGTTTGCTCAGTTCGATGAGAATATTGAACGAAAAAACACCAGAGATGGCACTGATTCCGTCTCATCATTCCAAGCAATTGGTGGTAGAATAAGCAGTGCTGAAGAGCACGGCATCTCGATTCCTGCTGATAATGCTGGAAAGTACGGTGCATCAGAAGAGACTGAAAATTATCCAGCACACGACGAATCAATCGAGTCCCAAAGCGTTTGGGAAAAACGCACTTCATCAAGCAAGGAAATATATGGTAAAGCATTCGAGCGTCATGGTTCATCCCGCGAAGCTATCTTCGGTGGGACTTCAGAGCATGCTGCATCCAGCCCAACGAGCAGGGGTGATGGAAACGGCAACAGCAGAAATCATTAAACCCCCAAATTGTAGAAGGGAATATGATTCACCCGAAAGCTCTCACTCCGCCGATCCATTTTTCAACTGCCGTTCTAGTGGATTCAATAATCGCTCGTTGTACTGAATAAATAGGTTGAAAATAAACTCACTCGTGAATCTTCTTTAAACACTTTCAAGC